CGAAAAATCATAATTATATTAAAAAAATATTTCAAAATTTGGATGGTTATTATAAAAGTAAGCTGAGTGAAATAATAATAATCATAAAGTAATTCTTCCGTGATATCCGAACATTTGTCCCTTGTTATAATTCAGTTTCATTTATCCTTTAATTCAGTTATGATGTGCCAAAAGTAAATATTTTCTATCTCTTTGCTTATCACATAAGCAACAGCTAAGTAACGTCAAGTGACGTTTCATATGGACCTGACCATTCATAGGGACCGTAACAGATTAGCAGAGTTTTTTAAGAGTTTATTATCCCCTGGCTGTACAAAGATCTTCTCTGTGCACTTTATATAAGCGGATTGGCAGACTTTCATAATTTCGAAATATTAACCTTTTAAACTACCTACTTTTTCTATAAGTAAAAAAAGTAACAGCCTATACATGTCCCACTGTTGGGCCTCCTACAGAGGGTATCAGGGCATAGTACACCACGCGGCCCCACTGCGGATTGGCGGACTTCACATATCTTCGAAATATATATATATATTTTTGTTATTATTTCGAAAATGTGCAGGTTTCCTCATGATGTTTTCCTCCACCGCGGAGCACGTAATAAGTCAGCACTCAAAGTTATAAACTTCATTGGTGCCGGCACCGGGGATCGAACTCAGGTTGCTCGAATATATTGAATTAAAGGCGAACGCCCGGACACTGAGCTCTCACGGCTCTCCCTACACGGCTACTTTTTCTACAAATTTTAATTTTAAACTACCTAAAAATACGAGCATTTGTTTTATCAGCACTTAAATTTGCAATTATAATTTCTTTGACACTGACATCGGTATTTAAACTCAGGTTGGTCGAGTGCGATTGTAAACTATTATTTTATTGATTGGCTTTCTCAGAAAAGTTGGACCAACATTAGTGCTTAAAAAACGCACATAAGATCCAAATAAATTATTGCATGTGCCAATATTATAGATTTTTTGAATGGACTATAAAATAATTAATAAAGATATTGAATACAATAATTAAACCACTAAGGTAAGAGGCCGTTTAGTTTAGTGGTAGAATTATTGTGGTATCAGTAGAAAACATGGTGGTACCGAATTGTATATGAAATGACCTATGCATCTTACGCTAGACTGTACCATAGCGATATGATTTTTTAATCGCTACCTTTGATTTTACCCGGCTTTCCTTTGAAACAAGTTTCAAAATTTAAATATCTAGGTCACTCGGTCCCAAAGGTCCTCGAAGATAACGCGGATATTGAGAGAGAGAGAGGAAGGCGTTAGCTGTTAGGGGCAATATGCTGGCCCGTAGATTTGCCTCCTGTCCCAAAGTAGTGAAACAAACATTTTGATGACTCCGTGGCGTAGTTCCCAGGCCTTGGCTTCGGCGTTCGGGGTCGTGGGTTCGATTCCCACACGGAAAACTATTTGTGTGACCCACAGATAGTTGTTTCGCACCTGGGTGTTTGTCCACGTGAAATTCTTGTTTGTAAAACGTTATTATAACACAGGATAATATTATCCTACAGTAAGGGCAACAAAAGCATATTTTCTGATCCGGTTAAGACTTTTCTGTTTTACTTCTAACTCTTTTAGATTCTCTTCATCTGTGGAAAGGTTTTAAAAGAAATAAAACAAGTGGGTTTCCATGTGTAAATCGAACGTGTAATACATTTATTTTATAAAGAGATAAAATTTTCACATTTTGTAAATATTAGACATTTTCATACAAACTCAGCACAACAGCTGCGTATAATACACGATAAACACGCAATTATAAACATTAATTCACATAGCTACATTTAGATCGGCTATTTAATTAATCTCATATAAGTTATTCATTTGTAATTCCACATACAATTAATTATCTAGTAGCGACATTTCATTTAAATATTTTTTTTTTGCATTTTTTGATTGTTCACATTGTTCACTACGATTATTCAGATATAAAGTTCGAAGTAGTCAAAAGATAATGTAAAAATTAAAACCTCGTCATGCCGTATAACAATTAACCTAACTTCACATTTTTATTATAATGGCAAGACCGCAACCCCTTACACTAATGTGCCGTGATACTCCAATAAATAAACAATAATAGTTGCAAGTCGTATGACATTAAAACGTTTAAACCCAGCGCCCAGTAAGACTCAAATTAGAGTTATCATTAAGCACTACAAATTGAATTAAACGTTTCATCCAACAAGTTGTTATTAAAAAAACGCAACCTGTATTTTTATGAACCACAATTGTCAGTGAGGACAAAACGGAATCGGCCACTATACATAAATGAAAATAATAAAAAAAAAGGGCTTCCATTTAGTGCACATTTTCTGGACTGAATCGATGATGGTATATAGCTCTGAAAAGCGAGTTGTCACGACTATACAAGTAATAAATACGTAAATACGTATAATTGACAGCAATAGTCTCGTTAAAGCAGCATTCGTAGGTAAACAGAAGCAACACGACACAAACATCAAAACTATAATTTGTGTCATACATATGTTTGTAACTCCACATCGCATTTCTCTATACAACTATAGTTTTAATTCTAACATACAGTACACTTAAAGTTTATAAAGAGTGTATAGCACATAGGAAGACATCAATAGCCTGCATAAATTTCTTCATCGATATAGAAAATATAGTTTTAGTTTAATGATTACCTCCAAAATATAGGTACGCATTGAATTCTAAAATAAGATAGTGATACCCAGTAAAGCAACGGTCACGAGTTTTGAATGTTACATTATTTACAACTTTGCTTTTACGCAAATTTGTTATCAATTTTGAGTAAGAGTAAAAATGTGCATGTTTGAAGTAAAAAAAAATTAGAAAAGATGACCTTATCAATTTTCCATTTCCTTACCGGATGATTTTACAATGGGAAACAAAATTCAACCGTGTGATGCAGAGATTTAAAAAAAATATGAAAATGTAGGTACCGAATAAATACGGTCCTAAAGTAAGACTTGATTCACTATCAAGTCTTACTTAAGTAAGATATATTCACATCGTTTTAAATGCTAAAGCTTACATACGAAATCATAGGTCTCAATTGTCATAAAAAAGCTTAAATATATTAATACATAAATCCACGAAGACACATTAATAAATTGAACAAAATACACGAAGAAACCTTCACTTATAATTTCAAATATTCACACAACATTTATATGTATAATTCACTATTTTATACTCACTCATCCTAATGATATGTTTAGTTACATAATTGCTCCTAAAACTTGGAAATGAAAATTTATATATAAATACTCGTGTCGTAAAAATGTTATTCACAATAGTCCAAGCCACAACATTTAACATGCGAATAACATAAAAAATTGCCCCGCAGCTTTGTTCGTAATTATTTCTGGCAAACTGTAACAATCGCGTACTTTTTGAGCTTTGCCAATAACAAATAAATAGTCATTGACACGATTATTCGTTATAACGAATAATCACTTTTATAACATGACCATAATGCGAACATCTTTCAATTCAATGTTTAAAAAATTTAATAGTATTTCGTTTTCTGCATTCAAGTAACCATTTATGTTAAATTGCAATATATTACATGGGATCGATTTAATTCTTTTATTTACAATAATTTCTATTTTTATTCAAAACTTTTGAATTTATAAGTAAAAAAATTATCTTTCCATTTAAAACATTTTAAATAAGTCGTAAAATTTTACACTTACCACGACAACATAAACATTTTTTAAGCACACTAAGCTTTATGATAATAATATGAATAACAGTTGAAATTGAACTAATTTGCCCACGTGATAAATTTGAATTTACATTTATTGAAACACTTAAAATGTAAATGCACAGATTTTGCAATAAATTTGAGTATGTATGTATTTGTCTTTTGAATTCATTATGTTCAAGACCTCATTTATAAACGCGATTAACGGAAAGCAACGGTCTTGTGCGAAAAACATGTGTACATGTGAGTAAAATTTACATTTACATTTTCTGAATGTACATTGGTGGCCTTAAATAAAATTATGATTCTGTGATCAGCATTTAATACGCTGGGGAATAGTTGATGTAATTTTATTAACAAATATGGTTTGACCATATTAAGAATTAGAATTCATAACAGACCGAATTTCCATCCTTTTAAAAAATGTTATTAAGGTCACATCTATTTTTTACATCAGTCTCATAATTGCGCGTACAAATAAGTATAAGAGTTTGGAAAATTACAAAATAATTACAAAAATCTAAAAAAACACCGAGCGTGATTTACGAAAATCGATACCAAAGCTTCTATTAATTTTTTTCTAAGCACAAGAATTACCTTTTGCAAGTAAAATTACAATCTTTATAATTTATGACGTTAATGAAACAAAAACTTATCATGTAAAATACCATTAAACTAATTCACTTATTATTTTTAATTTGTAATTTATTTTGGTTTCATATTTTTTATAATAGCTAATGTTTTGAACATTCCGGGTCTCTAATTGGTAATTTGGTACTGCGGATTAGAAAAATAACCGGACTCCGTGACACGCATATCGAAATTGAAGCACAGTAAGTAAGCCGAACCGTTAGTACATACACGCTTCACGCACATGTACTTCATAAACATTCGTCTACCACCTGACCATTATGCGGCTCGATGGCGTCTATGTAAGTACTGTTTACGTCAAGTAATAAAAATAAAATAAAGCGGTCTTGTGTTGTGAAAGGATCTAAAATAATACTGTAGCCCAGAAACATTAACATAAATCGGTCTCAACGAAATTAGACTACGAAGATAAAATTTAAGGCTTTTTAAGCCTCCATAAAATGCGTCACATTTTTAGAGGTGACGTAATTTTCTGACGTGACATAATTAGCGTACAGGAAATATTTTAATTTAAAATAAATGTTAGCGCTACGAATGGGAATAACAAATGCACTTATTTATTTACCTACTTTATTTGCCAATAGGCTCCTTTTCAGAAGAATAACATAAGATCGGGTAATTTTTTTACCGGTTCAATATATCTTAATGAAATAATACATTGAGTACAATAATGTAACTAGTGCGCAATGAAATCCGCAGCGATTTGAAGAGTTCTGCTCGAGACTGATAATCTTGACGGGAAGTTGCGTGGGCGGCTGCTCCATACGGATCACATTCACTGTGGGATAATACAAATTTGACGTCACTCATTCCTTTTTAACAAAACTATTCTAAGTTTTATTCTGGGATAGTAAAGATCATAGTTAATGTTTCGATTGCTGATCAGATACGTGGTCGTACCCATTACTTACAAAGGAATAAAAAATAATCTAGGTTTTCCGTCTTTGCGCCTTTATCGGTAACTAACCGACACTTTTAAGTGTCCTTATTTATCTATTAGTGATTACTGGAATTATTGGTGGAAAATTTTTAATTATGCTGGGAGCCTAAGCATTTGCGTCTATATTCAGGCGCCCATTTTTTGCCCCACACATTAAATCCAGATGCATAACAAACCTATTAAGCGTAGCCTAGAGTTTTCACCGTCTAAAGAGGTTATAAATATCTTGATATGCCATAATCTTGTAAGCAGTTGGACGTTTGTAGTAATAAAATAACAGTAAAAATGTCAGGGATGTGAAAATTTTACCAGTAACAGTGTGATTCTGAAGATCGGCGAAGCCCTCGCCAACGTTGGCGTAACTCGGTATTGTGCTGAGACATGTGATTTCGACGGTCTGGTTGGGGAACAGCTGCAGGCTGGACAGCGGGAAGTGGAGCGAAGAGTTTGTCAGGGACAACGGCATACCGTGATGGTGCCGGTGGACGTTCCAAGTGCCGTGCGGTTCTATCAGCCTTTCGTCCACCTGGTAGTTTTTGCAAAAGAAAAGAGGAGTGTTACAAGAAATGGATTCAATGATTTTTTTTTCACCTTAGTTTTCATTTACCTTATAGTACAATCATCAGAGAGTTACCAAGGTGTATGACTATGAAATAGTCAAACAAAACTGACTTGATAATCGTAAAATATATTTACTTAATACCGACGACTGTGCAAAACTAGAACGTTTTATCACCGCTCAGATGAACAATAATATCGGCCAGTAATCCTATTTATTAAATTATTCCTATTCCTTTTATGCCTTAAGGACTTCTTAAGACTAAATAATATATATTAAATTAAATATTGTCTGAGGGTAGTAGCACACTGCAACGGTCTGTATAACGGTCTCGTCAGCCGTTGTAGAGTGCGGAAGCTCTACCCGAATTAATAACGATTGTATCGGTTACTTAGAGTTATACTTAAATTTCTATGTAGATTAGCCCACTGGCCAATAAATTATTTTTTAATCAAATCGTGGAGCAGAAGTGTGGTGGTGCTGTTCTTCAAGAAAGGCGATAACGCTCTCTTGAAGAACTATACTACCGATATCCCTTCTGAGCCGCGTCTATGTGCTGTTCTCAAGAGTCATATTGAATAGTCTCGCTTCCAGACTCGACGACTTCCAGCCTCCCGAACAAGCCTCATTCCGAAAAGGCTTCAGTACCATAGACCACATACACACCTTGCGGCAGATTATACAGAAGACCGAAGAGTATAATCTGCCTTTGTACCTGGCGTATGTGGACTATGAGAAAGCTTTCGATTCTGTCGAAATTTGGGCGGTACTCCAAGCTCTTCAGCGGTGCCAAATTGACTGTCGGTATATCGAAGTGCTGCGGTGTCTGTATAACAAGGCTCCGATGTCCGTCCAAGTACAGTCCAGTAGTACGAAACCTATCCAACTGCAGAAGGGTGTAAGACAGGGTGATGTCATATCCCCGAAACTCTTCACCGCTGCGTTGGAAGATGTTTTTCAAGCTTCTGGACTGGAAAGGACGAGGTATTAACATCAATGGCGAATACATCACCCACCTTCGATTTGCCGACGATATAGTCATCATGGCAGAATCGCTGGAGGACCTGGGTGCTATGCTCAATGACCTTAACAGTGTCTCCCAACGGGTGGGCCTTAAGATGAACATGGACAAGACGAAGATCATGTCTAATGTCCATGTCACGCCTATACCGGTTGTTGTTGGGAGCACTGAGCTCGAAGTTGTTGACGAGTACGTTTACCTAGGACAGTTAGTCCGGCTAGGTAAGTCCAACTTCGACGCAGAGGTCAATCGGCGAATCCAACTCGGATGGGCAGCGTTCGGGAAACTTCGGCAAATCTTCTCGTCGAATATACCTCAATGTTTGAAGACTAGAGTCTTCAATCAATGTGTGTTGCCAGTGATGACCTACGGAACCGAGACGTGGTCCTTCACTGCTGGCCGTATGAGGAAGCTCAAAGTCGCTCAGCGAGCTATGGAGCGGGCTATGCTCGGTAGTTTCTCTGCGTGATAGAGTTCGTAACGAAGACATCCGCAGTAGAACTAAGATAACCGACATAACTCAGAGGATTAGCAAGCTGAAATGGCGATGGGCCAGCCATAATTCGTAGAACCGATAACCGTTGGGGAAGAAAGGTTCTCGAGTGGCAGCCTCGTACTGGCCATCGCAGTGTGGGATGACCCCCCACTAGATGGAGTGACGAACTGTGCAAATGTGCGGGAAGTCGATGGATGCAGGTGGCTCAGGATCGTACTTCATGGCAGTCTATGGGGGACGCCTATGTTCAGCAGTCAGACTCAAACAGGCTGGAATGATGATGATGATGAAAATCAATATCGTTTGTTTTAATAGGAATATAGTAAATGAAATGATATATGAAGCATACCTTCATATGATTAATAAACCAGGTGAGATGCGGCGCTGGATGAGCGGGTGCACTTTGGCAAGTCGCTTCTAGATTCTCGTTGGACGACAGCTTCTTGTGCTTAATTTTAATCTTTGGACGGTATTTCTGACGGACTAGAATGGATAATTAGGCGATTAATGATGTAAATTTAATTGACAGACAATGGAGAGTTCCGAATTTATTCATGGAGGGCGCATCGTCTTTTGTGTAATTATTTGCGTTTTTACTTTTTTGTATTTATGACTTTGTTGTATTCTACTTTTTTGTATACCTATTTACAGTGTATTTTTGTTTTATACATTTAATCCAAATCAATATCTTTAGCACAAAATATAGCTTTTTATTACATGGATGGTTGGTTTTACTGCAAACGTATTGTATAAAAAAGGCATAAAATTGTGGTATTAATCAAATGTCATTGATTTATGACAATACACCATTAACAAAAAATATAGCAGGTCTTCATGAATGTTCATGAGTTTTAAAATAATTAAACCCCCTGAGTTTTATAATGAATACCTTAAGCTTTAAGGTAATCTATACAGATAAATAAAATTAGAGTGTCTGTTTGTAATATTAAAATAACCGCTTTTTACTAAATGCATATGGATGTATACACGCTACATATACCAAAATAACATTTTTCACAATTTTTGTCTGTCTGTCTGTCTGTTTGTTCCGGCTAATCTCTGAAACTGCTGGACCGATTTGGAAGGGACTTCTAATTTAAAATTCTGCATATTTTAGAAATAATAACAAAAAATATTTCGAAAATACGCGAAATCCGCGGACCCGCATTGGAGCCGCGTGGTGGACTGTGCCCTAGAACCATCTGTACAGAGGAGGCCTTGGCCGTTACTGATGTCCAGGCTGTTACTTTACTTTATTAAAAAAATCTAATTGAAACAGGTGCCATTAAAAATATGGAAACACTCACCAATAACGTTTAACTCGTGCAGTTTGGATACTTTTGAATACAAAGGTGTCTCGAGTGCGATTTCGCAAGCGTACGACCCTGACGCCGAGAAATCCATCTTCTCCAGTGTAATGGATGTAGGCGTCAATTGTATTAACTGTGACAAAGGAATCATTAACGTCATTTTTCCTCGCAGAACATACTCCGTAACAAAGTCTTTTCTAGGCTAAGTTCAATACAATTTTTGAAGTTATAGTTATTTTGGCACGTTTGGAAAGAAGTACGAGAGTAAAACGTTTACGATGCGCACGCATACCGACCCTCGAATAGCGACACGATGAAGTTGGTTGCAACTGACGTCATCATGCTTGGTTGCCATGGTACGTGAAGAAATAACAACTTTTTAACATTTACCTATAATTCCAAGTTATTTAAATAAAGTGTTCCTGAATCAATAAAATTGCATTTAATGTCTTTTCACAAACAAAGAGTACTGGTACAGGGAATAAAATTTTTAGTTCTTTTTCTTTTGTTAAGCTAAATAAGTATAACTTCTAAAGTTACTTTCAGGAAATGATAAAAAAGTGATACTTTGCAATATTACCTCGAAAAATTAACAAGTGCCAATGTTACGTGTAAAACAACGTTTTATTTGAAGTTCTTCAGAGTTCCAAAGATACGTTCTAAAATTTTGAGCGCTTAACATTAAAAATAAAAGCATTGTATATAATATATATATGTATATAAGTGAAGTATACGTTTTCATATAATTATTAAATCAATAATACCTATCTAATCTTGTAATAAGTTATGATTTATTTATTATTATATATTATATTATCTAATTTATTTAAAAAATATATCATCTTTTTATTTAAGACTAATTAATATTTATTTTTATTTCGGGATTTAACACGGTTAACTTTTGTTTTAATTAACGATGTTTTAATAAGATACGGAGTCCATGGTCACGCGACAGAATCCTTAAATCGTAACAATTCCTACGCCGTCTCATTCGGAATTACGGCAGTACATTTGTACACTAATATTATTTGATATTATTCTTTAACCTCGAGAACAGGTAATAGGGTTTTTTTATTTTTAGTGTTAGTGTCGTTAGTCTGGTGCTGCTGAGTGCTCTGCACTCAAGATGAAAATCTAAATCATTAAATTTTGTAAATACAACTTTTTATTTTTTCTGGATAGCAAAACTTTGGTTTGTCATTTCAATACAGTTAAAATAATAATATTTCGTACACCATGCAATGTTAAAGGTGAACTCAAGAATGTTAAGTTTCCAGACTAAAGCCTCACTTATATCACATTACTGTCAAAATTCCTTACGTTAATATCAGCGCCGGTGAAATTATAGAGCTCGAATGGTGGATCTCGACCTCGAACGTACTTCATTATCCTTTGGCCGTGTTTGTAAAACACCACCTAAAAGAAACGAAATGGATAAATACCAAAAGGAAACAAGTGGATCCAACATTTAATAAATGTAATCTATTTACGTAAAACTTTTATGATTAGATACTGGTCGTCAAGTCAAATGTCTAAGGCTCAATTCAAGCTAAATGCAAGTTTCATTGATAAATACTATAATATGTCTTTATATTGTCAAAATCGCAAACATTACCTTAGGCATTTCTAAGTGAATTTTTTAATTCAGAATTACTTTTAGACTTTGGTCACTCATATTTATATGGTAATGGGGGAAGATTCAATACAATTCTTTGTATATTTAGTCTTCCTCCATTTTGCTTCTTACGAGAAGATAACAAATTGATAAAACCGTAAACGCAATGAATTTCATACAGCTTACATGTGCCCGGAATGAAATGAATCAAAGGATTTTTTTTTCATTTCTACGTCGTTTAAACGAACAATAGGACAATTTCCCGCTCGCCATGAAATATTCAACGGTCCAACTGCGCCGCTCCGGTGGAACGTTCGAACCGGGAACGTTCACGCGAAAGCGGCCGCGCGGGAACGTTGCAGCGAATGTTTACGCACCTTGTACAGGGAGTCTGGATCAACATTGTGCTCGCATCGCAGTAGCGCGCTGTGGCGATGCACGACGAACCGCGGCGCTCGCAACTCCACCCACACATCCGACACTCCCGCAACTGGGGACGTTTGTTTAGCGAAACTGAACGGAATAACTTTCGCGTGCGCCTCGCCTCGCGAAATGGGTTGAATACGCCTCAGTAGAACGTTAGGGATTCATCGAAGTTTCGTATTATAATATGTAGATGATGTCGGGAGGTGCAGATAGCATAGCGTAGACACAATAAAGCCGTCAAATCTGAGTATTTCGATTGGTCGACGAGCTGATTGGCGTAGTGGATAGTGGACCTGTCTCCAGCGGGTGTGGGTTCGATCCCAACTACTGGAAAAGTATTATGTGATGCACATAATCTGTTTCTAGCGTCTGGGTGTTTATATATCTATAATGTGTTTATTTACAAAATAAAAGTATGTTTAAGTATGTTTATCAGATACCTAATATCCACAGTAAAAGCTTTGCTTAGTTTTGGACTAGATAACGTTGTATAAAAATATGTCGTTAAACATTTACTACAATACCAGACTTGTTGTTTTCTGGTGTTTCTATAAATTTGCCAATTTTTAATAGAGACTGGGGTGAAGATAATATTTGTTTATTCTTGGAGAGAACAATTAAAATTTGTTATTAGTGTAAATCTATGATGAAATTTCTTTCAAAGGAAAAATTAGTTAATATTTTTACCGCCATAAAGTATTCATTAACTTCACTGTTGCTTTTGGAAATGATAAGTCAAATCTGCACTTCATTTCGAATACACACTCCTTCGTGAAACCAAAGTAGAACAGATGGCACGCCATTTAAACAAATTAAAAATATAAATGTTTATCGACACAATGACCAGTGACTCCGATTTATTAAGTACCTAAATACTTTTCATAAAAAATAACACTGAAAACTTTTTCTAAATAAAAAAGGCTAGTTCTTGTATAAGTTCCTAAGAATATTTTAACTTTGTGCTATTATTCCGTTTTTATAAAGTTAGACGCACTGTTGCTATAAATAACAATGGCAGAATTACAAATTACAACAAATTAGGTACATGAAAATATTATAAATGAAAAATAAGCGGGAATCTTCGTCAAAGCACATTCAGTGTGAACCTAGTTTTAAAATTTAACTAACTTTTCTCCAAACAGAAAGGAGCTCGTATAAGTTTCCGATTCCACTTTCTCACGTCGTATGTTACGTGGAACGAACTTACGATGCCTACGGCTCATTTATTTGTACGTTACCGTTTGTACTCACAAGATATACGGTTTTAAAGCACAAGGAGGCGAAATTAATTAGAAAAAGGGTTCCTTAAAGGGCCGTAATTACTTACGAGGTTATTAGACGTTACAACAAGTTGGCCCATATCGACCAAGTGAGATACAGATAATTGAACAAAGTGAATCTAAAAAAATCACTGCCAGATTGCAAAATGTGTCTAAAATATTTTATAGTGTAGAAAATCCCTAAAATGTATTGATGAAATGAATGAATGAGTGTAAAGTCGAATTTGGATCTGTTTTTGTGGATTTCATCATTTTGTTTTTACAGATAAAAGTAATGATCTCTCATTGTTTAACCCATGTACAGCAAAAAGATTTCTGTCAATTTGATGCCGACATCTCTATTTAACTGAACTTTGGTAGGATCACGCAATGGTCTTCGCGGTTGCACGATGGGCAGGTCATTCCGGGTAAGTACCACGACCTCACAAAAGACCGGCGTGAGTTGGAAGTTTTATACTTTCGCGTTTTACTCGGTGGGTGAGGTAGCCGGAGACCACTTTATTAAAAGGTGGCAAGGTATCTGCAACCCTACGGGAGTTAAAAATGTAAATGGGCGGCTGTTATAACATAACATCAGGTGAACCGCCACCTCGTTTGCCATCTATAAACATAAAAATAAAACAACATCATCTAAGCACTATATTGCTGCCTAATATCCGGATGAATAATATTCAAACACTGAAACAGTTAGCAATAAAAAACGAAGGACTAATTTCTTTTATCTAAATAAGTTTATAGACGGAATCTAATACTCGTAGACTAACAATTCCCACAAACTCAATTGCACTAAGTACGCCAAAGAGTTAACTCTGTTACTTCCCTTGCCGTTTATTTACCCTGCACTTGTATTGTTCAATTCGCGAGACGAAAACAATTCCCCGGTGCCGGTGACAGAAAAAACAAAGGCACTCTTTGTTTAAGAAAAAGAAAAAAGATAAAACCATTCATTTGCACGGGCGGCCACTATCGTTGAAAACTTCGGAGGACCTTTATTTAGTTAAGAGCGGATGGACGGAGTACCCGCGCTGTAAGCCGATAAAATGCAAATACAGTTCCGCATTGCTTCCCCTAGTTGGGAGATAGAGATTCCGTATCTGGTTACGCTACAGGAAATAGCTTGGTCGGAGCATTCTTTCAGTTTGTTATTGCCGACTCGATGCCCATCCATCCACTCCGATCCGATTTAACCAAAGGTTTAATTACAGACGGCTATTTAGTGGATTATTGTGTTTGCAGTAATTGTTTAACATTTTCAAATGCATTTACAGTCATATATAAACGTTGAATTATATATGTATATAATAAATCATAGAGGTTATATATATATATATATATATATATATATATATATATATATAACCTCTATGATATTTTCAATTAAATTATTTGTTAAGTTACTAATAACTTCATTCGTTATTGTCACTCTATCGCTGATATTGACAACGCATTTTTATTATAAATCATGAATGTGATAATTTGTTGCTTAATTAATAATAACTGATAGACATAGGAAATTAAGTGGCTCATTTATTACATAATATACAGTAAAGTTTATAAAAAAAAAGCTCAAATCATCTATCCTTAGTAAGCTTTAAAGTCTTTAAAGCTAACGGAAAAGACAACGATACTTGTAAAAGCTAACTAAAAACTTACCTATTACAATGCCAGATAAATAAAATGAAAGTAATATCGTTAATTTCACAACACGAAGCTCCATATTTTTAATAACTTTTCACAACCACTCTGTTAAATCAAAGATGATCAATATTATGCTGAAGTAACACATTCTCTTCGGTTTCCCTTTCACCTGAAAAAAAAAAAGTTATTCGTATTCATTTGGAATAGGCTAGGAACTTGTTACAATATCCCTAAAACCTAAAGCACCCTTTGTCCAGATTTATTTTTAACGTATTTTTTTATGTGAAAAGTTGCCAAGCGAACAGACGGTTCACCTGATGCTAAGTGAAAACCGCCGCCCATGGACATCTGCTACACCCGAGGGTTCCAGATGCGATGACAACCTTTTGAAAATTGGGTTCCGGCTACCTCACTTACCAGACGAAACGCGAAAGTATTATACTTCCACTTTACGCCAGTCTTGAGGTCGTGGTACTTACCCGAACGAGCCTGCCCATTCGTGCAACAGCCGAGGATGCCGCGTGGCCCTACCACCGTTCAATAATTATTATAATTATAATTACAAACGTATATACAAGCTACACAGCCTTTAGCAAGATAATTAGAATTGCTTAGTCAAAGAGACCTTTTATCTTTATCTAAAAGATGAGGAATGTAATAGACTTGCTTAAATAACTTACATATGTTAATATGTGATTTTGGCAATAGTGTAAATAGAATGATGTGCTCAGTAATATTGTATTTGCCATACATTCCCAAATTGTGTTTTCAATTGTTGGATAATATACTTTTTATACTTTCCATAGTTACAGAATGACCACATAAAACACCTTTCCTAAGCGATTCCTTTATTGAACGCTATTGCAAACATCAAACATATGCTGTTCTTTTAAACACTAAATACAAATGAATTTATTTACATTATTGCTAAAATCACATATTAATATATGTAAGTTTTTTAAGCAAGTCTATTACATTCCTCATCTTTTAGATAAAGATAAAAGGTCTCTTTGACTAAGGAATTCTAATTAGATTACTATAATAAGGTATAACATTTAAAATCTTAAATATTAAAACGTAGAGTAAATGAATTTCCTATAAATGGATCGATGAAAGATTTTATTCCAAAAAAAGAAACGGAAATATAAAAAGCCACCCGAAAAGCTCTTGCCACTTCAACTTGGAGCGTAAGAATTTGCTTACGATAATATGATTTATTTCGTTTGTGTTTCCATATTCTATTACGAATAGCGATTCTCGTTTTTCAAATTTCTTTTTATACAAGATCTCGAGTTGAATTTATAACGACTACAACGGTGCTGATACCAATAATATTATAAGAGCATACCCTGCAAAATGTTAGATAATACTACACTTTTATATATTTATTCAATAAAATAACAGCCCTTCCGTTATGACAAACTCAAATTATTGTCATACGTACAGAAAATGAAAATTATATACATGATTTTTCTAAAGAAACCCGCAATAACGCTAAAGAAAGAATGCTTTTTACTAAAAATATAAATATTGTGATAACAGAATGTGAAATTAACTCATTAAAGTCAATAAGGAGAGTAACTAGACATTCAAATTTAAAACTGTAAGTCCTGCAGACGGTGGACTGAGCTTTTAGATAACACGAAGCACATTCACATAAAAGTCTGTCTGGGATTCTGTAGAAAACTAAACTTATTGAATTTCTTCCTGACGTGACTAGCTCCGTCCTTCTAGATCGACTTTCAGAGTCTCTTTTATCCCCGGCATCGAAAATTAAGTTTCAAATTAGTTTACTCGCTGCTCCCTTCGATGGATTTGAATAATATCTGCGCTTTCAACTATTAAACAGTCGATGGATTAATTCGCTTCGATGATTATCGTCAATCGTGAGCTGTAAAATTCAATTTAAGGTTCCTAAATATTTTTCTAGCTGTAGGCAATAGTCAGTGTTCGGTGAAAATTTCGTTCTAAATTGTTGATCAAATATTATTATTCAATACTCACTGACACAGAAACAATTAAATTTACTGATGCATCTATTTTGTGCTCATGGCATCATTAATAAATGTAAATTATCAAGTTTATTTCTATAACCACGTTATAAACGTGGTATCCAAGACTAGCATTGTCAACGAACTTGAAATTAAAATTGAAACTGTATTAAATAGGCTGTAGAGAAACAGTACTTGAGAAATTATCATGTTTTCAGGCGCCGCTTAACTGTCATATTTGTATTTCGTAGTGTGTTGTAATTTGTATTTTCATTTAGTTATTAATTATCAGGTTACATCTGCTTTTGTTAACAAATCATCATTCACCCTTGAGACAGAGTATTATCTAAATGACTTGAAATACCGAGACAACCATCAACCATTCCTTAATCCGACAAAGTTCATAAGCAATGAGACATGTATGGAATTGTATGGAAATATTAAAGTAATTTTATAACTATAATCAATAAATCAACAATTTGTGTTAAATGGGCTACCACCACGACTACCCTCGAATAGCATCTTAGGGAGGCATGCTTACGCTTTCAATCCATTGAAAAATTATCACGACGATCAATCATGGGTGGGGTCGGCTCGGGTCGTAACCTTTCCAGCGGAGTAGAGCATTGTTACTCGTCGTTATACCCAAAATAAAATATCTAGTTCTCAACAACATTCTTTAAAATTGAATAAAACCTCAATTCAATCGCCTGCAAATGTTAAATTACATGAAAATTGATTTATCATAAATCGTACTTGCTTATTAACTTTTGGGAATTAAAGAAAAGAGGCCAGCAAAATAGTTGATAGAGTCGAAGATTGACGAAGCATATCAATCAACTTCAGTGAAAATTTTTTAGAGCCAATAATTGTGGTAGAGCCACGCATCAGGTTTTGCTCTTGCACGAGTTGGCAGGTTCGTCCAGAGAAATACAACGCCCTCACAGAAAACCAGGTTGAATGTTTTTTGCGTGTCGTCCGACGAGTGAGGTAAACAGGGACCACTTTATTAAGAGATGGTAACACATCTGCAACCGTTATCACGTAACATCAGGTGAACCGTCAGCTCGCTTGCCACCTTCACACGAAAAAAAAAAAGAAAGAAAAACATCTTTACATTAGGTAGGAGAGTGGCTGACACTCGAATTAAAAAAAGTTCTGAAATCGCATTCATTTAACACTTTTATTTCTTTAAAAAAAAAACCTAATTCGTCATTCTTCGTTCGGTCAATACCTTCTCAAAAACTGCAGAAGAATAAGCGTTTCCATTAATTAATAGCTGGTCTGTTTAAATAAAGATACACCCTATAACGAATATGTATCGAAGCACAGTTAAACTGGTAAGGCCGCCAAATATAGAAATGCCTCATGGGACCAAAAATAAATAATTGCAAAACTAACGGTACGTGAAATATTCCAGTCAGTCCCTTGGCCAAGGATGCTGCAAACGATTAATAAATAATTTTTAAAGGCGTGTATATTAAATTGACATGATAAAACTCGAAAAGGTTTTATTTAACAAAATTTTTATTTAATAATTTGAAATGAAGACACAACTGTGGTTTTAATAGTTAAAATATTTCATTGAAACTTCTCCGCACGTTGTTATTCTCAATTCGAATAACTTGTATAAAGGAATTTCTAATGTAATTCAAGATTTATGTACGTTGTGTGTCAAACTTCTCAAGCCCGTGACCCAAAAAGGATATACTAAAATATCTAGGGCAGTTCTTCTTATTTTACTATGATCCTAATATATTTAATATATTTTAGTTTATTAAACATATAAAACAACTTTAGAATTCATACGAGTATATATGGTTAAAGTAAAAAACACTAAGAATATTCGCATATTTCTGTGAATGCGATCAGTTCAGTGTCCATTTTAAAGAAAACCATGTTTAAAAAATTTTTATTCAAATATCTTGGGGAAAATTGGCAAAAATGAGAATTCTTAGAATTTTAGAATTTGCACTATCTACAATACTTGCACGCTGCTTTTCCCCTACCACGTCTATGATTTTTCGTAACCTAGAATAGAAGAGTTGAAGTTGCGTTAGAATTTTTGATCTTTAAATTAAAAAATGCTTTATTCTAATCAAGTGATTCTGCACTGATTTTACAAAATGCAGAAAATTTATCAACATGCATTATTCAAGTGCGTGTTTAATTAAAATTAACATCCCAATAGATCTACAACATGAGAATAACATTAGAAAAATCTGCTCCTTCTCAGAGTGCAGATTTACTATCCAGGAGATTGCTGATTCCGCAGGAATCTTAGGATGAACGCAAAATATCCTCGGATTGTTTCCAGTTAAGGAAAACCGTAATATTTCATAACTGTTTAGAAATATTTAGGGTTGATCCACACAATTTTTAAAGATAAGGCCATAGATAAAATCTAAGTTCATTATTATACCCCAGAATTAAAATAACAATCCAAGTAGTGGAAAAAGTCTCGTGAGCGGACTCGAAGGACTTTCATCATCATCGAAATTTTGTCTGCTGTCAAGGAAAGTTTTTTAGCTTTTGCTGGGTTGTATTTGCGAGAGCAAGTTCGGAAGTTTTGAGAAATAAGGAAAAGTTTCATTAAGATGACTCGCGTTCATCCGTCTGATTTAGACTGAATTGACTTATTGATTTAGACTCGAATGTAGAAACCAAAGTGTCCAAACAGCTAAAACATTCCTTTTTAAAGTTCTCTAAAACATTGCCTTCTTCCAACAAAATACGCTTCCGACTCTCACAGGAGTTGTAAAATAGCGATTGGAGTTATAACCCTGTAATTAGTTACTCTGTTAAGGTTCTAGCAATTCACACGCGAGATTATACGGAACCATTACGCTTTATTGCCTGTTTATAGTTCTTCACTTCTGGTTTTTGTTACCGCCCGAGCGTAAAATAATAAATTACTTCCGAAAAGATGTTATCCGATATTTGATGCGTAGTTATATTTTTCCCCGGGACCTCAAATATGAACTTCATTTTCCCTATATAAGGATTATTTTACATGGTTTGACCAACTAAACATTTATTAGTCATAGATGAAAGTGCGTACTAATTAAATAAACGCAGCCTAAAGAAG